TTTTTTTTTTGTTCAAAAAGTTCATTCCATCTAAAATCGATTAATGGGTTACATTAGGCCAATTTTTCACTGCACTGTTTGCAAGTGAGTCCGCTAGATTTATTTTGGCTCGAGATACGTAATTTGATAAAAGAAGACAAAGGAATTAGATTCGTGATGTCTTAGAGGATTCCAAAAATCTCTCCGCTTGCATTATGGGAGGCCACCGCTCTGAGGTGCAATTGACAGTCCGAGTAGATGCAGATCTTCGATATTCCTACGGTTCTGGTTTTGAAGAGGGCCATCCGCATTGCTAGGGCCTTGACCATCAATGGTGAGCTGACGTAAGACTCAACCTGTGAGCCTTGATCGATCGTGCTAAGGGTTGGTTCACTTGTGTCTTTCCTTGGGAATATGAATATGAGAATATCCACCCCAGCCCTATCCATCATGCTTTTTAGCCACTATTTTATTTGGTGGATGACTGCTCACCTTGAAATTCATTATTTTCTACAACAAAAAAAGATATCTAATGCTAATAATAATAGATAACTCCAAATAACATATTTGTATAAACTTTTTTTTCTTCAGTTTACTTGGATTGCAAAGAAGACATTTTTCTAGTAAGTTCGCATATGATATATTATACGTGTAAAAGAATATCTAATTACAAAAACCTTTATGTTTAAAATTTTCCTAGACGCATCGATATATCAGACGGTAGAATAATATTTTACTGTAGAATGCCAATGTTTTCTTTCTATACAACAAAATTTAGCATTTGCGTAAATAATACTATTTTGGTAAAATATCATCAAAAATTGAATTACAATAAAAATATAACTGGAATGTTGGAAACACAACTTAAAAAATATTATTACTGATTTTAGAAGACGTATACAAATTTTACACTGGTATTTTCGTAAATAAATATTGATTATTTTGTGAAACAAAATCTTGTAATTTGTTTTGTAAATAACTCATACTAGAACCTATAATGTTTCAAATGAACTCTTTTTTACTTGAGTTCATAGAAAGTTGATTCTTTTCTTATTGAAAAGATGACTGTCTGGAGATATATATTTGAGATTTTCTCACACACTATTAAAATTTATGTTATATTTCTTATTAATACAATATATATATAATGTTATTTCTCTAACGAAAAACTAAAGTGATAGTGTTTTACCAGAAGTTTGTTTTAAAAAGC